CTTTTTTTTTTTTTCCTAGACTAAAGGACTACCCTCAGTACTGTCAGCACCTGGCTTCAATTGGTCACTTCTTGCAATTCCCCCACCATTTACAAGAGGTAATCAGGTTTCCTTAATTTATTTGTGGTCATTCTTTTTCTGTTATCAGCATTCATTAAGTTTTACTGAGTCCTCTCTCTGTCTGGAGAGAGAAGCGCGCCTTTGATTCAGCTAAATTAAATCTGTCGCTCTGCATCTTCAAATATCCTGTGTGTGCAGTATATTGAGTATGGACAACAGTCACGGGACCCTCCAGTGAAGATGCAGGGGTCCATCACCACACCTGGGAGCCTGGCTCTAGTACAAGCCCAGGCACAGTCGCAGCAACCTGCCGGCCTTAAAGCCCCACAGCCAGGCCAGCCCAGCACCCTCGTCACAACCACCACGACTACAACCACAGCCTCTAAGACGTCCACGATCGCAAGGCCGACAGCCACTAACTTCAAGAAGGATGTGCCTGTGAGTTCAGTTTTGACCGGACACCATGCGGCAGCATAGAGAGAGAGAGATATAGAGATATATCTAGATATAGATAGACACACAATAATAATAATAGTCTCCGTTCCTACCTACAGCCCTCCATAAACACTACCAACATCGACACCCTGCTGGTGGCTACTGACCAAACGGAAAGGATCGTAGAACCTCCGGAGAATGTCCAGGAGAAGATCGCTTTTATTTTCAACAACCTTTCTCAATCCAACATGACTCAGAAGGTAAAGACAAAAAACAAAACATTACTGCATTAGAACAACCTTAATAATCAAAGATGCTGTTTTTTAAAAGCAGAACATTTCTTTTGTCAGGTTGAGGAGTTGAAAGAGACGGTGAAAGAGGAGTTTATGCCCTGGGTGTCTCAGTACCTGGTGATGAAGCGAGTCAGCATCGAGCCCAACTTTCACAGCCTCTACTCGAACTTTTTGGACACACTCAAGAACCCCGAGTTTGTGAAGATGGTTCTTAATGAAACCTACAGGAACATCAAGGTACTTAAAGACTGGATATTTAGTTCAGTGCAATGTTTGACACCTCTACCAAAAGTTGGATTGAGCTCTGGTGTCTTATTGCCAAAAACTTGCCTAGTGTGATGCGCTTGTAGTTACGTTTCTCACACGTCACATTATTATGTTGGCTAAACTGTCATCCTTTGTAAAATACTTCTCCCCTGCGTCTTTCAGGTGCTTCTGACCTCAGACAAGGCAGCTGCCAACTTCTCTGATCGCTCCCTGCTGAAGAACCTTGGCCACTGGTTAGGCATGATTACACTGGCCAAAAACAAGCCTATCCTTTATACAGTAAGAGCATTTTATTACTTGCTCCGTAAAATTATCTGCTGGTTTTTGTGCTTCAGAGTGGCCTAATTTTTATTTTCCCCTCTTCTAGGATCTAGAAGTAAAGTCTTTGCTACTGGAAGCTTATGTGAAAGGCCAGCAGGAGCTGCTCTATGTGGTTCCCTTTGTGGCCAAAGTTTTGGAATCCAGCGTGCGAAGCATGGTGAGAAATATAGGTGCACTTCTCAGTAGACACTAAGCAGTATGGCCCATATACCAACTTTTCTATATATACAGTGGAGGGAAAATGTCCAAACCACTCAGCGTGATTATATTTTTGAATCCACAGGTTTTCAGACCCCAGAATCCTTGGACTATGGCCATCATGAATGTTCTCGCTGAGCTGCATCAGGAACATGACCTCAAGGTAATAAGTTAGCCTTGTGTGTTGCTATTTAGAAAACACATCTGGATTTGTACCGTAGTGTCAAACTCCAGTCAGGTTGTTTTACAGTAACAACAGTGGAGCTGCATCCCATAATTCCTGTTTTTGATTGGACGCACTGAGTGATATTTAACAATTAAGATTAAATGCACAATGATGCATATCACTGAAAACTGCACTTGTCTAAACCGTCATTATCACTTAACGTCATGAGTAAAATTACAGTT